GTTCCCTGGAGGCCTCCTCTCAAGAGGACATGTCCACAGGAAGAGAAAAAAGGAATAGAGCCTTATGAAGGAGGGAAGGTCAGAGCTTTTGGTACTACCTGTCTCCCTTCTTCACCCACTAAGTTCCCCTCTGTGGGAGCTTTTCTAGATATCTGGAGCACTGAGAATTGGGGGAATGAAAAGGAGCCCCTCAATTCTCAGTCACATCACTCAGTTACATCTCTGTTCCCTGTTCCTGCTGTACCCCACCAACACTTGAAAGTCTTATTCCCAGCACAGCTCCATTCCCTTCTATGAGTGGCTAGAACTCACCTCCAGCTCCTCACTTTCAATTCCATCCCTCCTCCCCTCAAGAGCAGTAGTGGCCTTGGCCTCCTGGCAGAGCCTTCCTAGCCCGTTTCCATAGAAACCTGGTAGGCTATGTAGTGCAGGAAGGGGAAGGGAGATAGAAGCAGGAAAAGGGGACCAGGCCTCAGGGGCAGCCCAGATGAAGGGACATGGGAGAAGCTGGCCATCCAAACAAAGGTTGGAACCCTGATTTGGGGAGGAAAGACAAGAGGTAGCAGGCACTTGCTAGTTTCTCTCCCCATGCAATTTGCTCTGCTGCCTTCTAAGGAGAGGACACAGAACTGCCCCTTTCCCGGTAGGAGGTGTGGGGCAGGAGCAGCCTATCCTTCCCTCCCCACCCTCTTAAGAACCCCTTTACCAGGAACTGCCTGTTTGGGATGAATCTCTTTGCAGAACCCACCAATCTCTAAGACAGGGACCATGGGATACTTTCCCTCCCCCAAGAGCTCCCCACCCTTCCCAGCCCAGCCCCGGACCCGGTGGCCGCTGCTGACCCGATGGCGTGCCGCTCTCAAAGGCCCCATTCATCTCTGGGGGCTGAAGGCGCCATTGTCCCCCGCGGGGGGTGGTGTGGGGAGTGAGGGGGTCTCGACTCAGAAGGAAGGAATGCGTCTGGAGAAGTTGCCCCCGGGGCTCCAATCTCAAAGTCCCCACCAGATCTCCATCGGGACCCTTTCATGACCCCGAGTCCTTTCCCCAGGAGCTCCCGGCAGCCTTCGGGCTTCTCCTGAGGGTGGGGACTGCTGCGGCGCTGAGGAGCCTCGCTCCACCCCTCTAAAGCGCTCGGGAGAAACGTTGCTGCGGACGGGAGCTGTCCAGCACCTCGGGTCCTGACGGACCGCTGACTCTCCTAGGTGCCATCGGACAAGGGGCGCCGAGGGCCACCTGGTGGCTCGAGCTCTTCCCCACCAAGGCTAAAACCACAAAGCAGACCTGACCTGGGTGGGCTTAAATACAACTCTGGACATAGGAATCCACCGGTGCTGAGAACTGACTTAGGGAGCAACCTGATCCCTGTCCTATCTGAGCAGAGTGGAAGGATCAAGTGCCACTAGGCCATTCCCCTGGTGCCCTGTCTCAGACCTGAGCAGGCAAAAGAAGCAAAGAGAAGTCAGGCCCTGCCTCTCCCCCTTTCCCCCATTTCTGCATCTCTGCTTCTGTTTCCTCCTCCCTCCTCCTCTCTTTCCCTCCCTGCTGGGTTGGGGGCTGCTGAATTATCATTTCTCAGCTCTGCTAATGTGCTCCCTGCTGCGGGGAGGGATCATAATTCTGGGAGATGATTAAGTTTCAAATTGTTTTTCTTTGTGTTGTTGAAGATGAGGTTTTAATATGGTCCCTCCTCAGTTGGAGGGCCTTACCCCCATCCCTCCTCTCTTAGTATTCTCCTCACTGGTAGACCAGGTTTGGGACAATGCCCTCTGGAATCTTCTCTACATTTTTGGTGTATAGGGCGTTAGGGGAGCTGGGGGAATACAGACCTCCCCTTGACTCCAAAGGGAATACATATAGTGTAGCAGTGAGAAACACTGAATTTAAAGTCAGACAAGTCAGAATTCAAATCTTGACTCCATCACTTACTCTCTGTGTGATAGAGTTACTTAAACTGAGCCTCAGTTTCTTAATCTATTGAATGGGAATATTAATAATTACCTCGTGGGGTGTTGGCCAGGATTCAAAACGATAATGCATTTTAAATGCTTAGCAGAGCTTATGGTCCTCAGTAAATGTTAGTGATTATTGACAGGTGCAGTGGCATGCACCTGTAATCCTAACAACTCAGGAGGCTAAGGCAAGATGATTGCAAGGTCAAAGCCAGCTTCAGCAACTTAGTGAGGCCCTAAGAAACTTGTTGAGACCCTCTCTCAAAATAAAAAATAAAAAGGGCTGGGGATAGGGATGTGGCTCAGTAGTTACGCACCTCTGCGTTTAAATCCCAGAATGAAAAAGAAAAAAAAAATGAAAATGAATAAGAAAAAAAATCAGTGATTATTATTATACACATATCATCCCCTGTGCCATTTCACCTCCCTGCTCCTCCCTGACTTTGTTCTTCAGTTCAGTAAATGTTTATGTCATCTGTACTGTTTTCCAGGCCCTGTGCAGCTGACATGAAGTTATCTAGGAGTGAGGAAGTTGGCGTTCTTGCTAATCTATTCCTCAAAACACCTTTGGCCACTTCCTTCCTTCCTTTTAATTTAAGTTCACTCCTTTTACAACCTCCTGAATGCTTCCAGGTCTTCTTTCATTATTCCCACTCCATTGTTCCTTCTTTTAAGCAGGCTTATCACTTCACCTTGATTCCTATGTTCCTAACGCACATCCATCTTTTACCTTCTATATCATTCCTCATCCCATTTGGGACTTTCAGAGAGAAAAGGGGTTGAATTTTCAAACTAGGAGAGAGAATTATTAGTCTCTCTCTCTCTCTCTCTCTCTCTCTCTCTCACTCACTCACATACTTGTTATAGTCAACTTCCACATTTCTGAACTTTCACATTGTATCTGTGCACTTGTTTGCTGTCTATTCCATATCTATAGCCATAATAAACCTTTGAAATATATGCTGTTTCTTTGCCCACCTGTCTATCTGCTCTATCCTTGCCTTTATTTTTTTGTGGGAGTCAGTAATGAGGATCAAACCCAGAAGCACTTACTACTGAGCTATATCCCCAGAATTTTTTATTTTTTATTTTGAGACAGGGTCTCACTAAGTTGCTGAGTCTGGACTTGAACTTGCAATCCTTCTGCCTCGGCCTCCTGAGTCTTGAGGATTACAGTCATGTGCCAATGCATCCAGCCCTGCCTTTATCGTTTTTAGGGATTTTTGTTGTTGTTGTTGTTTATTTTTGTTTTTATGGTTTTTTTGGGTTTTTTTCCCTGTTGCTTTAAATATTCTCTCTCTCTCTCTTATACTGGAGATTGAACCACTGAGCCACATCCCATCCCTATTTTGTATTTCATTTAGAGACAGGGTCTCACTGAGCTGCTTAGTGCCTCGCTTTTGCTGAGGCTGGCTTTGAACTCATGATTCTCCTTCCTCAGCCTCCTGAGCCTCTGGGATTACAGGTATGAGCCACCATACCCAGATTGCTTTAAATATCTTTGTTGAGATCTAAATGATATATCAAGAACCAAAAACATTTAATATGTATGATTTGAGAAGTTTGAATGTCATTGTTTTACTATGAATGAGACAGTTTACCAGTTATAGTAGAGAGGCTTATTTATGATAATGTATTTTTATTTCTATTTAACTGACCCCTTACTTTTCACATACTAGTGATGGAATTTGGGGCACACTATTCTAAAATACAGCAGCTTGGCAAAAACAGGAAACACCACTCTCCCTCTTCCCTCACGAAGGCTATAATACCTCTGACTCTCTGATTTCCTCCCTCCTTTTTTTTTTTTTTTTGTGTGTGTTACCCGGTATTGAACCAGAGGCACTTAACCACTGAACTACATCCCCAGCCCTTTTTGTATATTTATTAGAGACAGGGTCTCATTAAGTTGCTTCTGGCCTTGCTAATTTGCTGAGGCTGACTTTGAACTCATGATCCTACTGCCTCAGCCTCCCGAGTCACTGGGATTACAGGCCATTTTCCTCCTTTCTTCCCTGAAGTAAGCCATAAGACCCTCATTCCAAAGGTGCCTTCTGTAAACAAGTAGGAAATGAATATCCTTGTCCTCAAAGACACAGAGTCAATAAGAAGAATCTGGGCAAATAGGCCTTACTGAGTTCCCTCTACTGTGTTCCAGTAGGTCATACTGCCTTGATCCGATCATACTTCTGCATGACTGCCCACCCTGCATCCAACCCAGGCAGAAAAATTACAGTTTTCCCTGTTTTTACAGGTCTTCATTTTCTTATGAAGTCTCCTGTGTCATATAAAACTGATATTAAATAAATTTGTGTGCTTTTCTCTTGTTAATCTGTCTTTTGTTATAGGGATCTTAGCTATGAACCTAGTGATAGATAAGAAAAGAAATTCTTCTCTCCAAAAAGAAATCTTTTCTTTCCAACACTGTCTCCCCCCGCCCTTCCTTTCTTTCTCTCCAAGGAGTCATTTTACAACTATGTGAGGGCTTGGTTCAGTGCAGACACAGATGCTACTCTAGGTATTTTAATTTTTTTTCTCAGTACTGGGGATTGACTCCAGCGGCACTCAGCCACTGAGCTACATACATCCAAGTTTTATTTAATTTTATTTTTTTTGTGACAGGGTTTCACTAAGTTGCTTAGGCTGACCTAGAACTTGCGATCCTCCTGCCTTGGCTTCCTGAGTCGCTGAGATTACAGGCATGTGCTACCATGCCAGACCACTCTAGGTATTTTAAACTGAAGGGAATTTAATATAGGGAAACTGTGATTACAAAATTGTAAGTACTTGTGAAGTGGACTCCCAGAAAATACACCAGGAGAGCTCATATATTTGACATGATCAGTAAGTTTAAAAAATCAAAAGGCCCCCACTGGAACTATTGATTTAAAAAACACATTGCCTGATCTTTGTCAACCAGGAATTAGAAAGTGGAGACCAGCAAATTGGAATGGCTGTTACAGGGAGAACCCTCTATCTCCAGGATCTTTCTTGCCAGCAAAAAGTCTGAAATAGGAGAAACAAGGCCTCTTCCTCCTTTCTGTCTTCCAGTCATACAAATGTACCTGATGGCAAAGGAATCAGGGAAACGCAGTCAAGCTCTCTGATCTCTGCAACACAAATGAAGAAAGTAGGAACAGAGGAAGATGCCAATTGGCCAATTCAACACCGACTTGGACCCTGTCACTTAGGAGTTCATTGCCAGTAAAGAGAAGGTAATATCAGGATCAATAGAGGTTGGAGATTTTTTTTCTTTTTCTTTTTTATACTGGGGATTTAACCCCAGTATTTTACCACTGAGATGCATCCCTTTTACTTATTTATTATTATTTTAGGAAAATACATTTTAGTTGTCAATGGACCTTTAGTTTATTTATTTATATGCAGTGCCGAGAATCGAACCCAGTGCCTCACACATGCTAGGCAAGCACTCTACCACTGAGCCATAACCCCAGCCCTTTATTTATTTTTATTAAAAAAACACTTTGTAGTTATATATGGACAGCGTGGCTTTATTTTATTTGTTTATTTTTATGTGCTGCTAAGGATCAAACCCAGTGCCTCACACATGCTATGTAAGTGTTCTGCCATTGAGCTACAGCCCCAATCCTGTTTTTTTTTTTTTTTTGAGACAAGGTCTCACTAAGTTGCTTAGGGCTTCATTAATCTTCTGAGGCTGGTCTTGAACTTGTGATCTTCCTGCCTCAGCCTCCTGAGTCAGTAGGATTATAGGTGTGCACCACCGCAGCCAGTTTAGGATCAATGCAAGTTGAAAAAACAAATCAGAAAGTGTCTCAGACCAAGTTCACTGGCAGGATTCTGGTACCATCATAGATTCAAACTGATTCTAGACCTAATTTGGAGCTATGGAGTTCAGTCTCTGAGAATGATTGGAAGAACAAAACCACCAGAGCACTAGGGAAGAAAGAGAACAAAGACCATTTCCAGGTGTCAGATATATGATGTTCTTACTTCCTGTAAAGGGTTGTACACAATAATCCAGGGTCTTGACCATCCCAAGATCACAGGGCCCAGCTTCAGTGGCAGCTTCTCTCCTAAATTGGCTGATTTTGGTTTGTGTGGTCCTGTGTGTCTCACTTGTCACATGCCTGAAGACCGTCATTCTCAAATGAGTCTCCACATCACCACCAGAAGAAGAGAAGCATGCAGAGGAAAGACTGAAAATGAGCCCATCTTTCAAACAGCAGGGCCAGGAGCCAGGGAGTGTTTTGCAGGGGAACATCAAGAAAGTGGGGCCTTCCTGCTGTTAATACCTGTTCTTTCCTGCAGTTCCAGATGTTTTGGCATCTCTCCTCTTCTCTGATTCCAGGAATCATGAGCCAGGTCTTGGTGGTTCCTAGACGAGGGAATAGCAGCAATCCCAAGATCCCAAATACATCCAAAATTAAAGAGCACCAGTTTATATTTGTTGAGTGAGTTTGAGAGTGCAGGGACAAGGGACGGTCTGGCATCTCCTAAGGGACATAAGTGGAATGTAGCCTATGCTTGTGGTTGAGAGCTTGGCCTCAGAGTTCTGTCCTGGCTCAGTTGCTTCCTAGTTGTGTGACCTCAGTCAATCACTTATTCTTTTTGAGTTTCTTCCCCATCTGTAAAAAGGGGATAAGAGTGTACTTACCTCCCAAGATGGTTGAAAAGATTAGTTAAGATAATTGTATTTAAATAGGTATAAAGTACTTGCCCAGTGCCTGGCATATAGTAAGCTTTTAATAAATGGTAGCTGTTAGTGTTTTTGTAATAATTATCAATACTCTACGACCTCAGAAACAAACCAAAAAATGTGAAAAGGAGATTTCTTCACATAAGTCTTGGTCTAGAACTATAAGCTCTCTGTTGCATTCTGGAAAAGTGGGGAGCTAGACTAGGCCAGAATGCCCCTCAAGCCTCTTCCCTTCAGCTAAGAAGCTTCTGCTTCCTTAAATTCTATTGCAGTCCCTTGTAGTTCCATTGGGCATCTTAATAGGCCCCATGCAGGGTGACATGGGAAATACAGGTTATTTGAAGGCCTATGATCAGAGGGTTTGGAATCATCTGTTCTGACTTTTTTGTGACACTTTCCCTCTTTCTCTGTTCTTTCCCCAAATGCTCCAACTTCGTATAAATTTTATTGACTGTCTACTGTATCAGGCGCTGTGCTAGCTCTGGGAGTGAAGAATGCAGAGAAAGGTAGCCGGTAACCAACTGGAGCTGTCCATTCACCAAAGCCACAGACTATAGGTACATAACCACACTAATAATCATTTAAACAGTTATAATAGGTGCATCCAAGGAAAACGCTAGGGAGTAATGAGAGTGGAAAACAGGAGGACTAACCTTCGTTTCTGAATCAGGGGTGCAGAGTGGGCAGAGAAGGCTGTACCAGACCTGAAGAATGTGAAAGAGTCAGCCAGCCAAGGAGAAGGAAATTCCCTGGGCAGAAGTGGAGTTCCTGCCAAAATGTTAGATGATAACTTTATGGTGTGTTGCCTTGACCAGAGGTATTTGATTCTCAACTGGGGACTCCCAAAGGAATAAATATTTAATGGTGGGATTTTTGTGAGGCATGTGACCAGCTGATAGAATCAAGAGGCCTTCTCATCAGCCTTCCAAATAAACCACGTGGCTAGGAGGCCTATCTCTGGATATGTGGAGTGTGTGTGTGTGTGTGAAGGAATGTGAATGCATATTCATAACTGAACATCAGTGCACATGTGCTTGGATAAATGCAGAGCTCTAGTTAATAATTTTGGCAGTTGGGCCAAGCAGCAGAAGTATCTTGAAATTCAGTAACACAGTCAGGCATGGTGGCACATGCCTAGAATTCCAACAACTTGGGAGGCCGAGTCAGGAGGATTGCAAGTTCAAGGGCAATCTCAGCAACTTGAGACCTGTCTCAAAATAAAAAAAAGAAAAAGAACTCAGGATGTAGATCAGTGGTAGAGTGGCCTGTTTAATTCCCAGTAACTCAAAAAATAAAATGAAAAAGAAATTCAGTAACATGCCAGCTCAAGGGAAATTTGGAGGAGATCAAAGAAGAAAGACTAGTCCCTTATATGCACACAGAAGCCTCCAGAAGTTGGGTTCCTTATCCTTGCCCTGGGACATCCCGGGCCAATCTTTTTTTTTTTTTTTTTTTTTTGTGGTGCTGGGGATCAAACCCACTCTACCAACCAAGCTATATCCCCAGTCCCAGGCCAGTCATTTCTGCTAAGTGTGGCTAGCAAACTAGCCAGGACTTCTAGAGAAGCATTGGTGTTGAAGGTAAGAGGAGGAGAAGGCTTTAAAATTTGCACAGTGTATTGGAAAATCGTTCTCTAGAAAGTTGGCTCCCACTGTATTTTTGTTGCAGGGCTTCTGTTGATTGTAACTTCATTAAGACTCTGAATGTATACAAGCGCATATGTGTGTGTGCGCGCTGATAGTGTGTGCTTGTGTGTGTATGAATAGGTGTTTGGGAGTACAGTGTGAATTATGATAACTAAAGAGCTCTGTGAGTTAGGGGCCCGCACCAGCTCTTCCCAGCTCTCTCATAGGTTGGGCCCTCCCACCATGCCTATCTGTGTTGCTCTCATGAGAAGCAGAGGCTGGGATGATCTGCCCATCAGAGTGAGTCCCTTCATATTAACAACAGACTGAAAATGTACCGACTATAACAAGACAAACAGAAATAATATGCTCACAGTCACCTCTGTTCCATAAAGCGAGTGGAACCTGGGCCTGTTGCAGTGAATGAGCTTCAATAATTCATCCCAACTGCCAATGTGGTATTGACATAAAGCTAATTTAACACTGGGGGAGCCAGGGGAAGTAAAGAGCAATTATGCCTTCACCTGCCGCATGGTCATTCTGCTAGCTCTTTGGTGCTGTGCCGGAAAGCTGAATCCCAGCGTAGGAAGAGGGCTGGAGAGGTCACTAGGCCCCTTCCCTCCTTGAAGGCAGTTGACTTTCTGAAGTTGTATTCTATCTTCTTGATAATTTTTTTTGAGCCCCATCCCCAGCCCTTTTCTTATTCTTTATTTTGAGACAGGGTCTTACTAAGTTGCTTCGGGCCTCACTGTGTTGCTGAGGCTGGCTTTGAACTTGCAATCTTCCTGTTTCAGCCTCCTGAGCCAACCACAGTGCCCAGCCCTGATTATATTCTTAAATAGAGACTTCACCACCCCTGTCTCTGGGTCTGACCTTCTGAAGAGTCAAAGAGATGTTTCCTAGGTCAGTCAGACCAAGGTTGTTTTTTTTTCCTCTCTCTTCATACAAAACTACTGGCACTTTCTATGGGGTATGATGGATGGGCAAGTGAAGTTGAAGTTTTTGCTGGAGAGACAGGGAGACTATAACTGATATCTTAAATAGAATCCAGCAACCCATTTTTTCTTCTTTCTCAAAAATAAAAATTACTCATCCAACATCTAAAATTTGTTGAGTTCCTACATTTATTCCATGTGAACTACATATTTAGCATGCATCTACCGGTATCAGGTGAATCAATCAGACGGGATCCTTGCCATTTCAGGGCTGGCAGTACAGTGAAAGAGACAGGCATTACACAGATACAAAAATGAGTCTATAATTGCAAAATGTTACTAATGCTCTTTGTTTTTCTCGTTCTTTCATTTACCTATCAATTCAATAAGACAGAATAACAGTGAAGAAACAACTTTAGAATGGTAAGGCCTTAGGGCAGCACAATGGCGCACGCCTATAATCCCAGCAGTTTGGGAGGCTGAGGCAGGAGTATTGCGAGTTCAAAGCCAGTCTCAGCAAAAACGAGGCTGCTAAGCAGTTCAGTGAGATCCTGTCTCTAAATAAAATGCAAAATAGCACTGGGGATGTGGCTCAGTTGTTGAGTGCTCCCGTTAACTAGAATGGTAAGGCCTCTCTGAGCCCTGAAGGGTACAAAGTTTGAGGGAGAGAGTAGGAGAGTAGACAGGAGGCAGGAAGAGCATGTATTTAATGCTTTGTTCCTTGCTGCAAGTAGATAATAAATTTTACTGGGGCCTAGTGGGAGAAAAGGAATTGGAAGGGGCTTGAGTTCAAGTTCTACTTTAGCCATTTTGGGTGACATTGGACAAGTTACTTCTTTCAACTCTCAGTTGCCTCATCTATAAAATAGAAAAGATAATATTTCCCAGTTTATAGAGTTGTTGTGAAAAATTAGGTATAATAATTTTCTAAAGTGTTTACTAGTGCTTGGCATATGGTAAGTGTCAATAAATTACTATTATTGCTATTATGATTATCCTCAAATGCTCCAAGTTCTTTATTACCCCCAGGCTTTGACACAGTTTGTTCCATCTGCCTGGATCATATCCCATTTCTTTTACTCACTTAGACTTGTCTTTCAAGTAACTGCTGAAATGTATTTCTCTGAAAAAAACTTTTCTGATCCCTAAATCAGTGGGTTTTTAGTACATGTAAGAATCACTGTGTGGGTTGGGGAGTAGTTTAGGGGTAGAGCACTTGCTTAGCATGTGTGAGGCTATGGGCTTAATCCCCAGCAACACACACACACACACACACACACACACATACACACACATCACTATGTGTTTGTGCTCATCACAAAGCAGATTACCAGGGAGTTTTGGTTTCTGAGACGCAATCTCTCTAAGTTGCTAAAGGCCTTTCTAAGTTGCTGAAGCTGGCCTTAAACTTGCAATCCTCCTGCCTCAGCCTCCTGAGTCATTGTAATTACAGACATGTGCCATCATGCCCAACTAGATTCCAATTTTGACAAAGTACCATGGAAAGTAAGATTACAACATTAGTGAGTTCTCTTTTATAAACCAAATGAGAGATACACAGAAATTCTCTGTACTATCTTTACAACTTTCCTGTAAATCTAAAATTGCTTGAAGATAAAGTTAATTTAAAAAATCAGATTCCTATGCAAATCAAAACCACAATAAGATATTACCTCATACTGTCAAAAAAAATCTGAGAGAATAACAAGTATTGGTGAGGATGTGAAGAAATTGGAACTTGTGTGCACTGTCAGTGGAAATGTAAAATGGAACAGTTTGATGGAAAATCATATGGTGGCCCCTCAAAATATTAAAAATAGAATTATCATGTGGTTCAGCAATTCCAATTCTGGGTATAAATCCAAAAGAATCAAAAACATGCTCTTATACCAATATTTGGACTCCCATGTTGATAACAGCTTTACTCATGATAGCCAAAGGTATAAGCAACTCAAACATTCATAGATTGCTGAATATATAAACAAACGAGAGAGAGAGAGAGACACTGAAATATTGTTCAGCCTTAAAAAGGACAGAAATTCTGACACATGTTACAACATGGATGAAACTTGAAGACATTATGCTAAGATTTATGAACCAGTGACAGTAAGACACTGCATGATCTCACTTATATGAGGTACTTAGAGGAGTGAAGCTCACAGAGACAGAAGGTCAAAGAATGGTTGTCAGGATCTGGTGTGGGGGAATGGCGAGTTGTTTAATGAGTACAGTTTCAGTTTTGCAAGATGAAAAAGTTCTGGGAATTCATTGCATGACGATGTGAATATACTTAACACCACTGACTGTATTTACTGACTTACATAGTTAAGATGGTAAATTTTATATTATGTTCATTTTACTCACAATTATTTTTTTTTCTTTTAAAGAAGATTCCTACTGGGCATGGTGGGACACACCTATAATCTGGGCAACAAGGTGAGATTGTCTCAGAATTTAAAAAATTATTTTTAAAAAGGAGGCTGGGTTATAGCTTAATGAGAAAGTGCTTGTCTAGCATGCAGAAAGCCCTAAGTTCAATCCCCAGTACCATTTAAAAAAGAGGGGAAATTCCTGAGTTTAGCTTGTGGTCCTACGGACTGAACCTAGAGGTACTCTGTCACTAAGCTATTTTGAGACAGTCTCGCTATGTTGATGAGGCTGGCCTAGAACTTGCAATCCTCCCTCCTCAACCTCCTACGTAGCTGGAATTACAGGGCTGTGCCACCATGCCCAGCTTTCCTTCAGAGTTTTTGATTCAGTGCAGAAATGGAAAAACTGATCCTAAAATTCATATGGAATGGCAGGGGATCCTAAAAACCAAAACAATTTTGAATAAGAACAAAGTTGGAGGATTCACACTTTCTGATTCCAAACTCATTACACAACTACAGTAATCAAAATTGTGTAATACTGGCTTAAGGCTAGACATATATCAAGAGAATAGATTTTGAGTCCAGAACTAAATTCATATATCTATGGTCAATAGATTTTTTTTTTTTTTTGTACTGGGGATTGAACCCAGGGGCGCTTAGCAACTGAGCCACATCCTTAGCCTTTTTTTTTTTTTTTTTGTATTTTATTTAGACACAGGGTCTGGATGAGTTGCTTAGGGCCTGACTGAGTTGCTGAGGCTGGCTTTGAACTTGTGATCCTCCTATCTCAGCTTCCCGAGCCACTGGGATTGATTATAGGCATGTGCCATCACACCTGACTTGGTCTATAGATTTTTGACAAGAGTGCCAAGACCATTCACAAGGAAAAGGATTGTTCTTATTTTCTTCTTTTTTTAATGGTGCTAAGGATTGAACCCAGGGCCTTGTGAATGCAGGGTAAGCATTCTACCAACTGAGCTATATCCCCAGCCCTAGGCTAGTTCTTTAATAAATGGTTAAGGGACAACTGGAAATCCACACTCAAAACAGTAAAATGAAGCCAGGTGGGATGGTATATGCCTGTAATCCCAGTGGCTTTGGAGGCTGAGACAGAGGATTTCAAATTCAAAGCTAGCCTCAGCAACAGTGAGGCCCTAAGCAATTCAGTGAGACCCTGTCTCCAAATAAGGTACTAAATAGGGCTGGGGATGTGGCTCAGTCGTCGGGTGCCCCTGAGTTCAATTCCCAGTAACTCCCAAAAAAAACAATAAAATGAAAAGTTTGGACCCTACCTCACATCCTATAAAATGGGCTTCCAGATAGCTGAACATGTGAAGCTCCATGTCGCTTTCCATGTTCCTTACCCAATCTACCTCTTTTTTCCCCCCACTCTTAGTACCAGGAATTGAACTCAGGGGTACTTAATCACTGAGCCACATCCCCTGCCCTTTTTATTTATATTTTGAGACAGGGTTAACTTAGGACCTGACTAAGTTGCTGAGGCTGGCTTTGAACTTGCAGTCCTCCTGGCTTAGCCTCCCAAATCACTGGGATTATAGGCATGTACCATCATACCCAGCTTTATCCACTTCTTTTATCTAGCTGTTTCATGTGAATCCTTTGGATAGCCTCTGTAATAAATAGGTAAGTCCACTTGGCATTCCAGATTTCTTTCCCAGGAACTGGATTTTTTTTTGCATGAATATTTTATTTATGTTAAGAAGGCATAGCTACAATAAAAAAGAATATATATTTTTTAGCAGTCTAGCCAGTCATGATGGCATATGGCTATAATCAAGTGACTCAAGAGGTCAAGGCAGGAGGATCACAAATTTGAGGCCAGCCTGGGCAACTTTGTGAGGCTCTGTCTCAAAAAAAAAAAAAAAAAGTTCTGGGGATATAATTTAATGATAAAGCATCCCTGAGTCCAATCCCCAGTACAAAAAAAAAAAAAAAAAATCAGGAATCTACATCTGAATTCTTCTATTGGGGATTCCCAGAAGGTCCATCAGCATTCTTATCTGCAGTAGACATTTGGAGCACTGCTGAATCTGCTAGGTCATAAAGCCCAAGCAAGAAACCGCTTATACTAACTTCAGAACCTTCTCTTACTTTGGGCCTGTATTTGTTTCCTATTGCTATGCAATAGATGACCACAAACTTAATGGCTAAAACAAAAACAAACAGAAGCCAATGTGGTGACACACACTATAATCTCAAAGACTCGGGAGGCTGAGGCAGGAGGATCACAAATTGGGCAATTTAACAAGACCCTATCTCAAAACTTAAAAAGAAAAAAAAAAGGAGCAGAATATATAGCTTAGTGGTAATAAACAAACAAACAAACCCTGGGTACAAACTGGGCATGGTGGTGCACATTTGTAATCCCAGCAGTTCAAAAGAGGCTGAGGCAGGAGGATTGCAAGTCCAGAGCCAGCCTCAGCAAACGCGAGGCACTAAGCAACTAAAATACAAATAAAATACTAAGAGAATAAAACGCAAAATAGGGCTGGGAATGTGGCTCAGTGGCCTAGTGCCCCTGAGTTCAACCCCGGTATCCAAAAAAAAAACAAAAAAACCCACAACTCTGGGTGCAGTCTCTCCCTAGTACCACACACACACATAGGTAAAAAGACATTTTCCATTTTATTTATTAATCCGAAAATCATGTAGGATTCGGAATATATACATTTTATATATATATACACTTCCAACTAGGGTTTGGGGTTGTGGCTCAGTGGCAGAGCACTTGCTTCACACAAGTGAGGCACTGGGTTTGATCCTCACTCAGCACCACAAAAAAATAAATAAATAAATAAACAAAATAATGATATTGTGTCTATGTATAACTAAAAAAAATATTTAAAAAAATAACTTCCAACTCAACAACAAAAAGACAGTCCAATTTTTTTTTTAAAGGGCAAAAGTTTTGGGGATGTGGCTTAGTAGTAGAGCGCTTACCCAGCACGTACAAGGCCCTGGGTTTTGATCCCCAGCACTGCCAAAATAACAATAACAATAATAATAAAATCAAATGGGCAAAGGATTTGAATAGATATTTCTCCAAAGAAGACATACAAATGTCCAATAAATACATGAAGATGCTCATCATCATTAGTCACTAAGGAAATTCAAATCAAACCCAAAATGTGTTACCACTTCATACCCACTATAGTAAGGAAAACAACAAGTGTTGGCAAGAACAAATAGGTAGTAGAACGCTTGCATGTTCCTAATGGAGTGTAAAATGATGCAGCTGCTATGAAAAACAGTTTGGTAGCTCCTTAAAAAATTAAACACAGCCAGGCACAGTGGTGCACACCTGTAATTCCAGTGGCTCAGGGGGTTGAGGCAGGAGGATCACGAGTTCAAAGCCAGACTCAGCAACTTAGTGAGGCCCTAAGCAACTTAGTGAGAACCTGTCTCAAAATAAAACATAACAATGGCTGGGGATATGGTTCAGTGGTTAACGTCCCTGGGTTCAAGTACTGGTATCAAAAAAAAAAAAAGAAAAAAAGAAAAGAAAGTTAAACATAGAATTATAATGTAACTCAGCAATTCCATTCCTAGGTATTTACCTGAGAGAACTGAAAACAAAACTCAAACAAATACTTGTATTTGAATGCTCGTACTAGTAATAGTCATAATAGGCAAAAGCAAGAAGCTACCCAAATATCCATCAATGGATGATTGACTGAATAGCATTAAAAAGAAAGGCTACAACAAGGAAGAACCTTGAAAACATTGTGTTAAGTGAAAGAAGCGAGACACAAACGATCACATAGTGTATGACCTCATTTACACGAAATGTCCAGAACGGGGAAATCCAGAGACAGAAGGCAGGTTGGTGGTAGGCAGGGGCTAGGGAGAAGGGCAAAGGGGGGTGACTTCAGGAGCTTCGCTGAGGGATAGTAAAGATGTCTTAGAACTGACTGGAGGGCTGGGGATATAGCTCAGACAGTAGAGTGCTTGCCTTGCATACAGAAGGCCCTGGGTTCAATTCCCAGCACCAAAAAAAAAAAAAAGCCTTTTGGGGCTGGGGATGTGGCTCGCGCCATAGCGCATGGCATGCGTGCGGCCCGGGTTCGATCCTCAGCACCACATACCAAAAAAGATGTTGTGTCTCCCGAAAACTAAAAAATAAATAAATAAATAAATATTAAAAAAAAAAAAGAACTGACTGGAGGTAAGGATTGTGCAACATGGTGAATGTATAAATGTCACTGGAATGTATACCTTCAAACGACTGGTGTTTTGTTATGTAAATTTTATCTTAGTTTTTTTGTTTTTTTAAAGCAGATTCTTTGGACCCCATTTTCAAAGATTTTGACTCAGCACATCCAGCAGGAGGCCCAGAATCTGAGTTTTCAACATGTACTTGAAATGCCTCTGATGTAGGTAGTTCAGGGACTATGTTTGAGAAACATCACTAAACCATGTAAGTCCTCTTATTAATCTCTTTCCATAATCTCTTTCCTCTTTTTTTCCTAATATACATCATAATTGTAATTTCTTATCCAGAAACTCTTTCTCCCCTAGACTGTAAACTCCATGAGGGCAGGGTTTATGTCTTCCTTATTCATCATATCCCTAGCATTTAAAAGAAGTACCTGAACAGTACACATGTTCAGTAGATACTGGGTGAATTGAATGACTGAACTGGATTATCTAGAAGGAAGCAAAGTACAAGTTGAAAGGCACAAGGGGTCCTTGAGCCCAAGAACCTACAGTCTAAATGGTCCAAGATTTAAAAGTCCTTGTTTCCATGACTCTCACTGCATGGGGGAGTGTATCAGCCCACCATGTAGAAATCAGTTGAAACTATGGTTTGAATGTTTCCTCCAAAACTCAAGTTAGAATTTATTTTCTGGTGCTGGAGATCAAACCCAGGACTTCTGCATGCTAGAAAATTGCTGTACCACTGAGCTGAACTCCCATCTGTACTGAAGATTGAACCCAGGGGCTCTTTGCCACTGAGCTACATTCCCAGACCTTATTATTTTATTTTACTTTTTAATTTTGAGTAAGGATCTTGCTAAATTGCTAAGGATCTCACTAAGTCACTGAGGCTAGCCTGAAACTTGGTGATCCTCCTGCCTCAGCTTCCAGAGTTGTTGAGATTACAGGCATGCACCACCACCGTCAGGCCCCATATTGAAATGTAATTGCCACTGTAACAATGTTGAGAGGTAGGCCCTTTAAGAGATGATTAGGTCAAAAGTGAGTTTGTTATAACTTCTGACCCTCTTGTCCTCTCTTTCTCTCTCTCATGCATGCTCTCTTGCCCTTCCACCAAGTTGTGGTACAACAAGAAGACCCTTGCTAGATGCAGCCCCTTGATCTTGGACTTCCCAGCTTCAGAACCATGAGCCAAAGAAACTTTTATTTTTTTGTTTGTAATTTTCTCAGCCTGTGGTATTATGTTATAGTAGCAGAAAGCAGATGAAGATAGTTGGAAAGACAGGCCTTGTGCAGTACCCCAAACTGGGCTCCCCTTGGGGAGGCACGTCTAGGAGCTCATGGCCAGACATGGGCAGAGCAGTCTTGGTTCTGAGACTCCTGAGGCTGGCTTCCGGGGGGCATAGCTCTGTTGGCATCTCCTAGCCACAAAACTCTAGCCAGGTTTTCCTGGCCTGCCTGGCTGATTCTAGTGCCTTTTGGCTGGGTGACCACTCTTACTCTTGGCTGCTTCCACAGTGCCTTAGAGCACACGGTCAGCAAAATGATTTCCCTCACCATTACTGAACTGGCTCTGGGTCAACCCACTGTCGTCTGTGCTGGCTTCTGAGGGCTTGCCAACATTGCAGGAAGCCGATGCAGCCAGGAGGGTGTAGGTGAGATATCCAGGGGACTGCCGAAGCCTCAGACCTTGTCCCCTCACAAAGTCAGCATTCTGCAATTTTCTCCTCATTGCTCTTAGCCGGTCATCCAGGCCCCCTAGATCTTATCTTATGACCAACCTCTTTGATTTCTCTCCCTTCCCGCTGTGTGTTCTCTGAGGGGCAGAATGAAGTTTTCTAACTCTGCACTGAGTTTATGAATATCAATTAATCCTAAATCAATCAATACTTCCCACCTATGTAAATACACACATGTATACACAGAAGCTACAAAAACAGGCAGTCAATATGCTTCAAAGAAAAAATAGAATCTTTTCTTAATGGTATCATTGGCTAATTGTATGAAATTCTCTCAAAGCCCTCAAATTCTTCCCTTGACATGAAAAAAAAAATCAGCTCCTTTGAGCATCTACTACAACCACCTGGAAGTGATGCTCAGTGTTTTACATGTTGCCTCATTCAGTTCTCAGGCAGCCACACACACTGTCTAAAACATGTACATGCACAGTTTAATAAATAATTATGTCCCACAATAAGTTAAAAAGCACCTGTTCATATATCTGTGATGAACATTCCTTTGGGTTTTTTTTTTTTGGGTGTGTGTGTGTGTGTGTGTGTAGTGCTAAGGAGGAGCCTGTGCATGCTACTCAAGTGTTCCACCACAGAGCCCCAGGCCCCTTGCTTTCTTTATACTTTTACTACTTATGTATGCATTCCTAAATGATATAGTTTTGTCTATTTTTGAAATATAAGTGAATGGAATCACACTGTATACGTTATTTGAGTTTTTAAACTTACTCTTATTTTTGTGAAGTTAATGAATTTAGGTTGTTTTATGTATCTGAAGTTAATTGAGGTTTATTGCTGCACATTCCGTGTGTAAAATACCACAAGTGATCTTTCCATTCACAATGTAAGGGATTTGACTTCTATTCCTTTTTTGGACTTTATGAACATTCTTATGCATGAGTTTTGGTGTATTGGGGTTCAAAACCCTAAGGCATATGATTAATACTGGAATCACTATATCAAAGACTATTAGTATCTTAACAGCTTTAATGGACAAGTCCAAAGGTTGTTTTCCAAAGGGGTTGTGATGTTGTGCTTATTCCTCTCATCCTACTGATGAGGAAACCGAGGCTCAGTTCCTTAGTAACTTAGGGTCACCAGTTCAAAGAGGGTAGAGCTGAAAGTATATTAAATCAATCTGATTTCAAAACCTATGCTCTTGACCAACTAACTCACTGTCTACCCTCTTTTAAAAATTAAGTTACATCCAACTGGTATAACTAGGAAGCCAGAAATAACTCAGTAACTTAAATAACAGAAATGCATTTTTCCCCCTCACATAATGACCCGAAGAGTGTTTCAGGTCAGCAGGCAGCCCTGTTCCATATGGTCATTAGAAATCAAGGATCCTCTACTGCCTTGTTATAGGGGGCATGGTTGAGGTCAGATTGTTGCCATGACTGAGATCCAGCTGGGAGAGTGTGGGAGTATGAGCAAGGTTTAATGTATGTGTAAGGTTTTACAGACATGGCACTCGTAAATGAAGGCTAAGGGCATGTGGTCAGACACGGTGAGCTTAGAATCAAATCAGTCTCAGATATCCAGCCATATTCTCCTCAGCAAGGAGATATTCACTTAGCATGCGCAGAGAACCAATAGTTCTATACAGTGGTCTGTAGGTCTCCTAATGCCAGAGGCATCTTCCACTAGAAGAAGCTGTGCCTGTCTGGGAGGTCTGCATAGGTAAAAGACTGGACAAGATGACATCTAGGTCCTTTCCCAATTTGGGCCTACATTCCAAAGTCAAATGGAAATTGTTCTAAAGTGTCTGGCATTCTGAATCAACTTTTCGACTTTTTTCCTGCCTCATGGTAAAGAAAGTACCTCTCTCTGTCAGGATTATGATCTATCCTGGAACCCTAGGGGAGAAGCTGGAGGGGGCACTGGTGGGAGGGCAAGGTGGTGGGATTGGGTAAGGATCACTTGGATAGATCTCTTAACTACTCTCAGCCTCAGTTTTCTCATCTGTAAAGTGTGCCTATGTCTGAGAAAGAAGTAGTAATTATCCCTATTTTACAGATGCAGAATCTGAGGCTTGGAGAAGTGAACTTGCCCAGGAATTTGCTATGGAAAGCAGAATCAGGATTCAGGATTCAAGCCCAGACAGTCTGACTCCAGAGTCAGAATTGATAATTACCAAAGTATCATTGTTGGGGTGCCGGAAAGCGGGTGTGTGTGTGTGGGGGGGGGTAGGGTAAACTACTACATTTAATAGAACAACCATTGTTAGATGTTCTCTGGCTTCCCAGTCGATTAGAACGAGTGTTTTCGCATGAAGGAAACATGATATTTGGGTACAGTGAGAATGAGGAACACTCCACCCCATCTGTCTCGCTCATGGTTTCTTTCTTGGGAGTAAGGCTGCCTTGAAGCTCAATGGTATAGCCTTGCCTAACCCGGGCAAGGCCCTGGGTTCAATCCCCAGCACCAGGGAGGGCGGCTTGTTCTTTCTAGCGTTGGCAGCCTCTGGCAGGCCCCAAATAGTGGAACGGCCACATTAACACGGCCTGGGGCGCCTGCCCCCCAGCGAGGAAGGCTTGGAGCGGCCTCTCTGCAGGCACTGAAGCTCCGGCCCCCAGCAGCCAAGGTTTGGAGGAGGGAGGAGGGGTGCAGCGGTTGCTACGGTTTATGCTCCTCCAGAGCTTCAGAGCAAGATTTCCCCAAAAAGCCATATTAAATAAATAAAAGGAAATTCAGCAGATGGGAACATGAATCAATGAAAACTCCCATATGAGTGCAAAGATTTATGTCAAAAAACAAAACATCAACATCTGGGAGCTGCCGCGTCTTCTCTTGGCTGCTCGTTTGGAATGGATTCTCGGTGTCGCTTTCCGCCTCTTTCTGGCCCTGGGAGAGGACGAAAAGAAATAAAGAATGAAGCCCATTTAAAAAGAGTCGTTTTTAATCAGAAATGAACGCTGCTTTCCCCCTCAACGCTGGAGGAGACGTGAAGCAGGCGCAGGACTACGGGCTCAGTCCTGGGAGTGCGGGAAGGGAGCCCTCTGCCGGAGGCTGCCGGGCGCCCCTCCCTGCCCAACCCGGGGCGGCTCCCGGGTGGGATGCCTCCAGATTTCACAGCTGTGGTGGCAGCAGCAGCACCCGTCGCACTGCAACGCGCTGGGCGGCAAGGCGGCGCCTGGTTGGTCACGTGGACGGGAGCCCAAACCAGGCGACTCTGGCCACCTCTACAGGCGGTCGCCACTAGAGAGCACGGAGAGCACGTCTGACCAGGGCAAAGGTATACCTGGGTTCCTCCAATCTGGAGGATAAGCATCAGCGACAAGTAGCAAAGCTGGAATGTGCACCAAAGATGGAAGTCCGCACTTAATTCTTAGACCCGGTGCAGGAATTAAGAAGGTAGATGTTGGGCCCTAACGTGTGGGTTCAAATCCCAACTACGTTAGCACCATCTGTGTGATCCAGAGCAAGTTTACCTTCCCGAGTCAGGATTTTCCTCACCTGTAAAATGGGAATAATAGCACCAAAAAGTGAAAAGTAACTGAGAAAACATGCATGCAAAGTACTTAGCACAGTGCACATATACATAAAATTGAGTAAATTTTAACTAGTATCATTCAAAAAAAAAAAAAAAAGAAGAAGGCTCTGCATAACCTGTGCTCCCAGCTCTGCAACCTTCTAGAGGCCACTGAATTCCTCCATTATCGGGTTCTAGTCACATAAGCCTTGTTTTCCATCCAGCAAAAGTACCTTCAGCCTCAGGACTTTTGCACATTCCCTCTGCCTGAAAGATTTTTTTCACCTTCTGCTTCAACCAAGCCTCTGCGTGTTTGTGTTTTGCTGGGGATTGAACCCAGGGCCTCTGACATGCTAGGCAAGTACTCTAACACTGAGCTACATCCCTAACCTACAGCCTCTCCTTTCTTTGGGCCTACATTACTTGTACATGGTGTGGCAAATTCCTTCCAATTCTTTCCTCCCCAAAAAGTGATCTTCCTGTTCTATGCTGTCACAGCAGCAGGTTTCTCCTTACTTGCAAATTTCCCAGTTGAAATGTAGAATTGGTTTTGTTAAGCAATTAATGTCTTTCACCCTTTGGACAGTTCACCAGGCTAGGAGCTCAGTCTGTTGCATTTGCTGTGGTATCTCCAGCCTCTAGGACAGTGAGGGACCTAGGCCCTCCATTTATGGGGAATAACCAGAGTGGATGATGGGACTCTGAGGCCAAATGAATCCTGGGTCTTCTATATTGTTTCACCACTTCCTTCCAATAAACAAGTATTAAGATCATCCATATACCAAGTCCTATGCTGGACACAAGGGACATAGACATACAGTTCTTTGACTTAATGGAGCTTATCATCCAAAGGCAACGACAGATATGTAAACAGAGGACGAAATAGATGGGGTAGAGATGGCAGTCAGGGTGTGTGTGTGTGGAATGGGGGTTGTTATTCCTGCAAGGCCAGGGCCCTAGGGCTCAGATCATGTAAGTGAATAAAACTGAGTGCTTTCCCTGCATTATCTTACTAAAATTCAACAATTAGACTCGTTGTTGAATTACCACCCCTTCAGTATCTCCATTTTTTGTTTGTTTATTTTTGTGTTGCTGGGGATTGAACCCATGGCCTTGGTCATATAAGGCAAGCACTCTACCAACTGAGCTATATCCCCAGCCCTTCATCATCTCTGCAGTACAGAGGAGACAAAGAAGTTAACTGACTGACCTAGGACCACAAAGACAGTAATGGCAAAGGCAGGATGCACAGGCACATTCTGACTCAGAGTCAGAGCGCTGAACTATTTGGCAGGGCAGCCTCCCTGCCCCACTCCCCATCTCTGTGCTGGTGGGAGGAGAGCACTGCCCTCCAAGATTCCTGCTGCAGAAATGTCTCCACCTGGGAGCAGAGAGCAGGCCAGTAGAGCAGGGCTGCTGGGTCCTAGAAAGCTGTACACTCTACACGTGGGACTTGGTGATGAATGTTCACAAGGGTGCAAAGGGGATCTGTAATAGCTCAGCTAAAAACAGGAGCGCTTCTGGCCTCCAGAAGTGCACTAAAACCCCAGCACTTGAGGGAGGCCCCAGCCTGAGCCTGGCACAATGCCCTGAGGATGTGGCTCACACTTTTCACACACTCTTGAAGCACTGAAGATCCTGCGACATCTCTCACCACCCCGGGCTGTTTTAGATTGGATTCCCATCCTCCATGTTCCTCTAATGGCAGCCCTGCCTGCCCTCCTGAGTCCCAAGAGTCAGCCAGCACAGGACTTGGGGGCTTACAGGAGCACTGCTCTTTGGAGTCTTCTCTCCTGAGGCCTGACTGAGGTCAGGTTCCTTCAAGAATTTGATGAGACCATCCATCTTTTTCAGGCCCCCCCACCCTCAGTTCTCTTGGGGAAAGGTGCATCTTCCCCCAGTATCTGGAGAATTCTGACAGGTGGATATGGGATCCCAGCAGAACATCTAAGGGAAAAGGCTAGCAGGGGATCTAGGACTGAAACTCAGGAAAGAGGACAAGGTAAGGCTAATCATTGTTACCACCAATTGAGTCCTTTCTGTGTGCTGGATATTGTGCCAACTAAGCACTTTATATGCACCTCAATTCACAGATGAGGAATTAAGGCTCACAAATTCAAGTAACTTTCCCAAGTTTACACAATCAGAAAGTAGTGGAAGATTCAAACACAGGCCATTAGGATTCTAGAACCTAAGTTCTTAACCACTATATTCTCATTTAGGAGTCAAAAAAACCAAAAACCAAAAAACAAAAAAAAACAAAAGGGAGCTTCAGAAAAGAGCAAAGAACTGAAATGTGATGCTTGCGCTAGGGGTCAGAAGAAGGAAGAAGCAATAACAGAGACAGAAAAATGATCAGATGGTAAACAAACAAGCAAGATGCAGTACAAGGGAAATTGCAGAGGAGACAGACTCCAGCCCTGACGCAAGAGGGTGATTTTTAATAGGACCTGGTGACTAGCTGGGTGTGGGAGTATCTGACACCTTTGGGGTGTCTGTGCAGATCACAAGAAATCCACAAGGAAGGAAGGAAGGAAAGAAGGAAGGAGAGGGAGAGGGAGAGGGAGAGAGAGAGATTGCTCAATTTGTTGACTCCTGAGTCTCTAGTTCTAGTTTTTCCTGGCTGCCAGCTCTATCCTGATCATGGGGTTCCATTAGATATCCCCCCTGCCACCCTGTATCCTGGTAAAGCTTTTCAAAAGCTATCCTCAATGAGTTTCTAGCATTTGCAGTGAGAGTCAAAACTAATGTGGGCGTGGGAGGGACAGAGGGGAATTGAGTCACCCCTCTTTCTTGCCTGGATGGCTTAGAGAAAAGATAAAATAGAAAACGAAGGAGCAGGATGATGAGGTTCTGTATGTAAAATTTAAGGAGTTGAGTCAAGTGCTCTGGATCCAAAGGCCCACTGGGGATTAATGAGGTGAGCTTTGATGATCCTTGTGACCCTGCATCAGAAGAACAAGGATAAAAGCTGGGATACATGGATGAAGAGCAAGGAAGTTGTATAGAACTGGGAAGCAGAATGTGTGTTGACTAAGAAATCTGGTGGTAGAGAGAAATGAACAGAATAGGAGCAGAAAAGGGCAGGAGGATCAAGTAAAGAGCTTTTCACCCAAGATAAGTAAGCCCTGGTCTATTTCATAGGCAGAAAGAAAAAAAATCTAGTAAAGAGATGTATGCTTTAGCATGAGGAAAAGGATAATAATAGCAACAAGGTTCTACAAGAGACAGGAAGGGAATGGGCCTGAGAATAAACAGTGTTTGGCCTTAGAACAAAGGGAAGACTCAGACCTCTCCAACTGAGTCCACGTCCTTGTCATTTCCTCGAAGCCATAATCAGGCCTTACGTTTATTTGTATAGTATATGACTAACATCAGAGTACGCTCACAGCACCTCTCAAGTTAGTCCTCATCCATCATCATCATCATCATCATCATCATCATCATCACATGCAGCTACTATTCATTGACTGCACTGCTCCATCTTACAGATGAGAAAACTGAGGGAACTATTACAATTAACTTAACCAAGATAACCTGGCTGGTTGGTAGGAGAGCTACGTTGGATGTGAGACACGCCAGTTTCAGAGCCTCTGCTCTTCTGCCTCCTGACACTTCAAAGGGTTGACAATGGTTGCCTCTGGGGAGCAGAACTAGAGACTGGAGAGCAGGGAGCCAAAGTCTGCTGGGTTTGATATAAACCTTTAGTACTATTTGACTTCTTACTGGAGTAGTAGCTCTTTCAATGACCTTCTATGCCCTCCCCTACATTATCTTTTCATTGGTAATGAAAAGATAATTTAAATTTTATATATCTTTTCATCTGAGGGGTCAAATCTACTGAACTTGGCATGCTCCCTGATCCCTACCAGCAGGCTCTTCCTTAACACATTTCACACTTAAATATAAATTGTTTGACCGTCTGACCAAGCCCATGTCCAGATCCCTGCCAGGTAGCAGGTTTTGTACATGTCCTTTTAAAAATAAATGAAACAAAACAAAACATTTATATAAAGGAATTTGCATTCCTATATAAAAAAAATCCCCTCTAATAAAAAACATTTAAAGAACCCAAGTCAGTGCTGAGGTGATGACCCAGCCTTCTCAATGATGAAGGTGAGGCTGCTGGCCTAGAAGAGACAGTGAAAATGAAGACTTTCTCTCTCCAATCTGTCCCCCACACAGTAGCCAAAGGCCTTTCTTTGTTCCTCTGGCCTGGTTACTCCTCTGCTAAAACCCTAGGTGTTCCTTGCCCTCTGACCAAGACCAGACAACTCTAGGGCTTTATGACCTGGCCCCATACCTCTTCAGATGAAAGGAGTGTCACTATTCTATGCCCCCAACCCACCCGTGCCAACCCTGACCCCCTATAACCACAGTAATTGTTTTGTTTTTTTTTTAATAAGAGATTGAACTCAGGGGCACTTGACCACTAAGCCGCATCCCCAGCCCTATTTTGTACTTTATTTTAGAGACAGGATCTCACTGTCTTAGCTCAGCACCTTGCTTTTGCTGAGGCTGGCTTTAAACTTGAGATCCTCCTGTCTCAGCCGCCCTAGCCGCTGGGATTACAGGTGTGTAATCTGGCTGGCTCACAGTGATCTTAAGTTGTGCTTTCTTTGCGAAGCTGTGTTTTCTGTGTCTCCCTGGGACTTTGCATCAGCTATTTCCTTTTCCTGTACTGTACCTTCCCTTCATCATCACCTGGCTAGTTCCTAATCCTCACCATTCAGGTTGGTCATTGTAGATGCAGCTGCTTCGGAGTCTTCCCAACTTACATGCCTAGGTCTGGGTCTCTCCTTGTTCCAATAGTGCTCTGTGTGTGTGTGTGTGTGTGTGTGTGTGTGTGTGTGTGTGTGAGAGAGAGAGAGAGAGAGAGAGAGAGAGAGAGAGAGAGAGAGATTATTTTTTGGTGCTGGGGATTGAACCCAGGGGCACTCTACCACTGAGCCACATCCCAGTCTTTTTTGTATTTTATTTTGAGGCAGGGCCTAGCTAAGTTGCTGAGGTTGGCTTTAAATTCAAGATCTGTCTGCCTCAGCCTCCTGAGTTGCTGGGATTACAGGTGTGTGCCACCGTTCCCAACTCCAATAGTACCTGTACATTCCCCACACTGTAGAATTTGGTAGTATCCAAAGAACCAACTTCCCACCTTATGTCTTTCATTCTCACTTTGATTCTGAACTGGCCTTGTAAACTGCTATAACAACAGAGTACAGAAGTGATGCCATATTGGTTCTAGGCTTAAGCTTTAAGGAGCCTGGCAGCTTCCACTTTGGTAATTTCGGAAGCTCTGAGCCATCCTGTAAGTTCTGCTACCCAGCTGGAGAGGCCATGTAGAGCAGAGAGGCCCTGAGACTACATGGAGAGAAAATGAGGCCCTGTCTTTCCAGTGTACCACTTATCTACATACAACTCCTGCTTCTGCTGCCATCTGACTGCAACCTCTTAAGACCCCAAGAGAGACTAGCAGAATTGCCCAGCTGAGCCCAGTCAACTTGCAGAACTGTGAGAGATTAATAAAATGATCGTTGCACTATTTGTTGTGTTGCAATAAATAAATAAAACACCATTCTGTATTTTAATTGCCTACTGACTTTGCCCCACTACACTATTTTCTCTGTGAGGGCAGGGACCACAGCCATTTTTAAAGTTGTTATACATTCAGAACATTCTCTAACACTGAATTAAGCTCTCATATACTTGATTAATGCAAATTAAGAATGTCTACAAAAACGAAAGCAATAACAAAAGTCTAGAACATTCACTGAATACACAGTAGCACGAGTATTTATCACAAGAGGTGATTAACTGGGTACCTGGACAATAGGTTCCCAGTGTAAGATAGCTTACCTTTGAAGAGGGATTGAATCAACCTGACTCTGTGCCACAATCCAACCACT